GAGGAGACACGGAGAGAGAGAAAAAAGAGAGCGACAGGAAGCCAAGAGGGAACGAAAGGGAGAAGAAATGCAGAAGGAGATACGGAGCAATACGGTGGAGCGGGGCTGAAAAACCTGGCCGGCAGGTCTTATTACGAACCCGAGGCCCGGTCTCACGCTTATATACACCGACCGAGATACGGGTAAGTCCCTGACAGCAGCGGGGTGACTCGTTCCGCGAGATTTTTCTGACGTTGGCCCCGCAGCCACGGGAACCGAACGGATACGGGGATCTTTCTAATGAGACACCGACGATTCTCTGCATATGTGTCGTCTTTCGAGTCTTTCGAGATATTCGAACGACGATTTACGAGAGGTAACGGCGGGGAGAAAAAGTTAAGGGACGGGCTGACAGGAGAACGATTCGAGGCTAATAATATTCTCGAGGGGCACGAAAAATGAACTTTTATGCGTTGCTGCATTTTTCGGATGTTTGTTGCCTTTGGACAGATTTTTGGTACTTGGATATTGTACGGATCAACTTTGTTTCCTAATTGAAGGTTCGCACTGGTTAGTCGTTTAGGTTAGGCCTTGGTTAGTATTTATTTTATATTATAACACGTTATTAATATCTTATTATTATTATTAGCATTTTATTATTAATATTTTATTTCTTAAAAATAAAGGTAGTCCGTATGATACGTAAATACCAGATTTTTTTGGGTACTTAGTTTGGATGGACGAAGGTAGATTACTAGTGTTGCAAAGAGCAGATATGATGTATGTTTGGTAGTTTGAATGAAGAGAACCAGTGGATTGACTGATTTTCGAGCTTGTTTTGTTTGCTTTTTACGTATGTGGACTAATTTAAACGACTTTAGAGTTTTCTGTGAATGATCAACTGAACTTTGTATGATGTTGCGAAATATTTTTTTATATTACAAATACTGCATAATTTAAATATGTTGTTCTACGTTACAGAAACGAAATTTGATTACCTTTTTCTACTTTGAATATTTATCGTCGATTGAGAAGCTTTTGAAATAGATTTTTTCAAAATGTATCTATTTACGATGGAATATGGATTGTATGGCGAAGTAATAGTGTAGAATGGAGAAGTTGTGAGGAATATTTTAGAAAAATTTGAATTTTAAACAATAGATTATAAATTGTCAGATACTCAGATCAGTAAATGTACAGTATCCACGAATTGGTTTAGTAATATTGCAGAAACCCACAAACTAATTTTTGTATTTAGTAAAATTATTTCTCTATTACTTTTATTATTTCTGTATATTATTTCTGTACATCATAAACGGACTGTATAAATTTCATTAAACGTCCCCGAGAAAGAACCATTTGAAGAAAGTATAGCGATCTGATCATAAATCCTTTTAATATTTCTCGACTGTCTCCACATTGTACTTCAGGCAATTTTCTTTCGAAGTTCTCCCTCGATTATTAATGTGCATCTTTAATCTTTATTCCATCAGTGTCACTACTTGTAATTGTAATTAAGTGAATTCATTACGAAAAATAATATACATTATGCAATAATAAGTTTACCATAATTCTTTCCCTTTAAAAAATGATTTTAAAAGCAATTGTAATTAAATGAATCCACTGGAAAAAATATTACAGTCTGACTATAATTCTTTATTTTTAAGTACTAATTTTAAAGGGTGCTCAACTGTTCAACGTGTTCAGCGAACGAGGTCATTATTTTACATAAAAACAAGACAGATCAGTAAGTTTACTTTACATGTCTTACAATTTCCTTCGGAGCAATCAAGTGTTTAATAAATTATGCATGATGGTGTACTTTCAACAACACGCTTTATGGAAAGTATAAGTTATTATATTTTGTGTAATATATTTAAAATGTGACACCGGAATAACTCCGTTATATTTAGCATTAAAAAGAATTTCTGAGAACAAATTTGATGGTGGTAAAAATGTTTTTTTCCAGGATTATTTT